GGTCGTGAGATAGGGTAGGTAGAACTTAAAAAATTAAGTTAACTTGTTTAAATTATTTTGAGTTAAAGTAATGGAAAGATATATGTTGCCATGATGACTTATTCATCATATAATTTTTTGCTAATTCAATCCTTATTTAGTTATTCTCAACAACAATGAGAATGTGTTACTGAAAATTGCTTCAGGGGGTAATTAGGTTTCTCAATGTTTACTCTGTAAACAAGTGCTGTTTGAGGGACCGCTCTTGAAAGTTTCTCAAGATGAAACTCCTGTGATTGTTGAGTCAAGGATGGTCATTAAAGCATCTGACTGCTGTTATGAAATCTCTCGGTGTTGTTCCTGGTGTTGATGTGAGTCCAAGAGCACTAAGCAATGTTTTCTCAATTCCCTGTGAATGATGTTCATGTATCAACACACACTTGTGCAGCAAAGCAGCGAAAACTATGAAACCATAAGTATGCTAGTCTTGCTATTAATAGGAAAATAGTTTGTATTATTTCACCGAGAGTTCTTGTGGTAAAGCTGCATGTTCTGACTTTCAGAATGATTGCATTTATGTTTAAAAAATTAGAAGAAATAATAAATATACGTAATTATTGGGGAATTTGCTCTCGCACACAGCCCTAAACCACAATGTTAAAATAATCAAAATAATCAAATGCGCTTCAGTGTCTATCTGAGTTTGTTTGTGGATTTAAGTCCTCCTGGGAATTTTGGAAGACATCATTTTTAACCCTGGATCACAAAACAAGTAGCATGGGTTTGAGGCAATAGCCAACAATAGGCTACATTGTATGGGTCAAAATGATCTATATTTCTTTTATGCCAAAAATCATTAGGATATTAAGTAAAGTTCATGTTCCATGAATATATTCAACACATTCTCACCCCAAGGCATCACCTTTGACCATGCTTCAATATTCGACGTTTTACTCATGATCAGGTCATGATCCTATAGGGCGTCATCTAACTGACGCTAAAGGGAGCCTAAAGCATCATGGGGTGAGAATGGGCTGATATATTTAGTCAATTTCCTACCGTAAATATATACAACATTTATTTTTGTGAGTGAATGCAGCAAAATTGCGAACATAAATGGACAACTTTAAAGGTGATTGTCTCAATGTTTCGATTTATTGCACCCTCGGATTCCAGATTTTCAAACAGTTTTACACTCAGCCAAATTACTAAATATTCCTAAAAAACATATATCAATGGACAGCTTATTTATACAGCTTCTAGATGATGTATAAATCTCAATTTCCAAAAATTGACCCATGTGACTGGTTTTGTGGTCCATGGTCACATTAATGACGTGCATTCAAGTCATTTGTTCAGAGAAATATGGCAATGTACCTTTTCTACAAAAAGGTCTGCAAAATGTTTAACTATACATCTATAGTTCTTTTCTCTGAATAGATGACAACATTAATACAATCTCAGTTCACACGGATCCGCGCGACTAAAAACAAATGGAGTTGCTTACCAGACAAGTTTGTCACTTTGTAAAGAAAGATACCCGCCCACGCATACACATTCAAACCTAATGACAATAGACTAAACTAACACAGTCTCATCCCAAATCGTCATATAACTGACGTTTTGGGACGTCTTTTGACCATACGTCAATATCCGCCTTTTTAGGGCCCCCTTAAACGTCGGTAGATGGCGATCCCGGGCCGTCATACAACTGACGCTTTACCTTTAACGTCAGTTAGGTGACGGGTTAGGTTTAGGGTTAAGTTTAGGTATGGGGTAGAGTTAGGATCCCATAACCTCATCTACCGACGTTTAAGGGGGCCCTAAAAAGGCGAATATTGACGTATGGTCAAAAGACGTCCCAAAACGTCAGTTATATGACGATTTGGGATGAGACCGGGTTGACTAAACACGTAATACACATGTGTATGCGGTCACCGTTTTCACAAAATTCACATTTTTCAGACTGATCTCATGAAGTAGCGTGTGTATGACACGCCAATTCGTATTTCCATTTTTGGCGTGCTATCAACACGCATAATCTCTTTTCAGCATGTTTATAAATGCCGTTGACTTAACGTTATTACTGTATATATAAATATGTGACCTACCCCAACCCCGTCTCTAAACCTACCCGTGGGGTTAATGGTATGAGTGTTCCCCTACTATCCTAGGAAAAAAATATATCGCTCCCCAGATGTAGATCTACATTTTGCTTCGTTTCGACCCCCAAGGCGTCACCTAATTAACGCCTTGGGAAGCATTTTGACCATGCTTCAATATCTGACGCTTTAGGCGCCCTTTAGCGTCAGTTAGGTGACGCCCTACGATCGCGTATAACCCTACCCCTACCCCAGACCTAAACCTACCCGCGTCATATAACTGACGCTTTTCCTTTAGCGTCAGTTAGATGACGCCGTATGATCGCGTCATGTAACTGACGCTAAAGGGCGCCTAAAGCGTCAAATATTGAAGCATGGTCAAAAGGTGATGCCTTGGGGTGAGAATGCGTTGGACACGCGGAATCACTCGGTCACGCATACACGCAGATACACGCGGATAGCTCAAAATGCGTAGAGATAACACGCCACTTGACTCGAAAGTCATGATGTCATGTTGCGTTTTTGAAGTTTACATAGAGATGATAATGGTATCGCTGTCAAAAACATGCAGCAAAATGGCATTATCATTACCGATCAGCATTATTTTGGTTTTGCTGTCATTTAATTTAAGAAAGTTCAGGGACATCCGGTGTTTGATTTTAGTCTTAAACATGCAGTGATATTAAATAGAAGAGGTGGTAAGATGTCGAAAACGTCCTAACTGCATATGACATTACCAAGTGACTGCATGTAGATGATAAAAAGTAACGGACCAAAAACTGAGCCCTGTGGGACACCCTTTGTCAGTTGGATTGTGGTGGACTTATACCCTTGCATGGGGATATAGTACTTTCAGTTAGTTAGAAATAGTTTGGTTGTTGTTATTCTTTTTTGCTTAAAAGACATTTGGTTTCCTCATTATTATTATTATTAATATTTTTACCTTGTTTTCAGTTTTCAGGACTTTCGTCTCACCAGTGTGGAAACATTTTGTGAAGGAATGGGAATATTTCACCAAAGTTGGTGACTTGAAAGGACAGCGTTTGAATTGTTTGTATGTGCACTTTGTATGCATAATTTGTCTTTGAAAGGACAGTAAAGCAAGAAGGAAATTCTGCAACCTAGTTTCGAACCTGTATTCCCTACATCAGCTTCACAGCACATGTCAACATGTCACTTTTTTTTTTTTTTGTAAATTGTTAATGGATACATAAGTGAATAACCCACAAAATACCAAAATGCATTATTTGTTAAAGATATGTATACATCTCTGCTCAAACTGATCTATTTAAAAAAGTTCCAGGATCTCGGGATCAAAGTGTGTGCTTTATCCTGCACCGAAGAAGGTTAACACCAGCACTAATTCAACAAAGGAAAATAACAGATCAGATGCCAATATTCCATCTGTGACAAATTGCCACAAAAGCTATACAAACAAACTCTTATTTTGGGAATACTTTGACTTTATCAAAGAAATTACATCTCTGACCACACGACGGAGTGTAATATACGGCCAGATTGACAGATAAACATTTCCCTGTGGTCTTTCCTTATAAGGATCCCTCTCTCCCCTTCTCCAAATGTCCAATTAAAGGAGCATATAAGCACACAAAGGTGAACAACAGGACATCCACCTCTTTTTCATTAGCATGTGAGAGTAATTATTCCAAGTGCAATTAAAGATTAAACAAAACACAACATGTGGACTCTTAAGGAAATGACCTGCAACTAAAAACATATGTGTTTTACACAAAAGCTGGTGTTTATTGTGGGAAAAAGCGCAACTGCATTAGAAGCCTCTAATTTTCCCAGGACATTATTCAATCTAAAATGTAAAACAGTAAGTATAAAATATGCATTTCAGATGTTCAAGTTTGATTCTGTCACTTTATTGGAATCAATTCTTTTTAAACAAGGAAATGCTTTGCCAATGGACATTTCTGTCATATTTCATGAGTTACTAAGAATACTAAGTTTTGCATTTGGGGGGCTGTAAAACTAAAACCACCGGAGGGAGGGAGCTGATGGAAAGAATCTATGACTATTTGTAACATGATGTCTTAAAGTGATATTGGGAATGGTCATGTCTGATGACATAAAATAAAAGCTGTCTCTCAAGGCTGCTAGACTTGACCTTGAGTCATGGTTGTAAATTCATCAGATAAAAGGTTATAAAGGGTGTAAAAGTGTTGCTCAAGACATAATGTTTAGTGATCCTTCTGATAAACACAACTTCTGGTTCATCTACTAATTCTTGAGACATGGGACAAAATATGCCTTCAACTTATGTGGAATTCAACTTTGTCACTTTAAGATGATCGCCAGGACGCTCTTAAAGGGATGGGCCATTATGTCATCATTTGCTCAACCCTGTCATTACAAACCTGTCTTCTGCAGAAAATATTTCAGAACGTTGAACAACATTGAAACGCATTGGCTTCCATTGAATGAACAAACCTCAAAATATCTTCACTGTAACGGATTTTTGTAATTTTAACAGTATTTTACAGTAATATGTACAGTATAATACTGTTAAATGTGCCAACAGTATAATACTGTAAATGGCCAAGGATTATGGGGAAATATGTGTTTACTATTGTAATTATTTTCTACTGTAAATTGTAAAAAAAATCAAATTATGTAATAGGAAATCAATTCTAATACTGTAAATAAAAATACAGTAGTTGTACTCATGAATACAATATACAGTATTATTACTGTAATATAAAAATATGGTACTTGTACTGTAAATGAAGAATACAGTACTCACACTGTAAATATTAATAGTGTACTGTAAATGAAATTACAGTTCTGATACTGTAAACACTTTTACAGTAACTTACTGGCATCCAGCTGCCAGTAAGTTACAGTAAAATTTACAGAAACCTATTTACAGTGTTCTTTTGTTAGATGTTTTGGAACAAAATGAGGGTGTAAATCATGATATAATTATTATTTGGGGCGAACTATCGATTTGAGTTCCAGGAGATTCAAACATATAAGTGAATACCCCTGAACATGACTGATTCAAAACAGTTGATTGATGCATCAACTTTTATTTCCTCAGTTTAGAGTGCTTCAACTCCCCTCCAAATGACTTTTTCGAAGTGAAATGGCTTGCTGTGACATGATTCAGTCCGGCATATATTTGCAGTGGTGTTTAGAAAACAAAACTGATGAAGCATGAAAGTCAAACAAAGAATGAGAACTGCATTCCCCATAAAGTTGAAACAGGTAGCACGACTCTCCATTTAAGTCAACAATTTTTCTCTCTCTCTTTAAATAAAGACAATAAATACATTTAATTTTCTAAAAAAATATAATCTTGTATATTCTCCATGACATCACAGGCACATTACCACCAAGCTCAGTCACCCTGAGGTCTCAGGTCCAGCTGTTAAGGCATCCAGTGTCCTGAGACTTCTGCATACGTTATTTTCGTAATATGGGTGAGCAATCACTCCATAGTCATCCCCACCAACACAGGGAAGTTTTAGAGATCAGGAGCCAGCGGATCCAGGAATTCCTGTGTAAACTTTCAGGAAACTGCCTCCTTCTGAATCTCCAGGAGGGCTTTTCTGAAACAGGACTGGATGAATGCTGCGGACCTTCTCTTGTGTGGGTTTGGACTTTATGGTCTTGCATATCTTGTCCCAGAGCAGGCGAGGCACCGGGGGACTGAGGATGATGAAGACCCAAGGGTCTATGATGGGGTTGACCGATACGAAAAGAAGGGGTATGAGACCATTTTTATCTTTTTGGCCGGAGTACAGATGAATCTATGAAAACAAGAACATAGTGTGAAACTAAATGCTGTGCATAAGCAGTAAAACAAATCAGCAAAAGCTAACGTTCATGTTACTATGTAAAAAATAATCATGAGTTTAACGGTAAAAGACTGTAAAACTGCTACAGTGCAAAACTGTTAATTGGTTAACAGAACATTTCCATACTAAATACGGTAAATAACATTGATAGACAGTAATTTTACTGTAAAATACCGTTAATTTTACAAAAGTTTTTGAAAGTGAAAAAGAACAACTCATTGTATAATTTACAGTGAAAAAAAAAACGTAAATTGACATTCCCACAATCCCCTGTGCGACACTTCACATTTTATGTATTTTTGTTGAAATAACTATGGTTCCCTTATTGTTTTCTTACTTTTTTTTAGGGTTTTATGTTACATTTAGTTAAATTTCATGTGTGTTACCATGATGGTGTTTAATGTTTGTGTGAATGACACTGAGCAGCTTCTTCATATTTATGACGGTAAAGTTCTGGCAACCACAACTGCCATTTTTTTTACCGTAAAAATTACGGTTTCATTTATTACAGTTTGAACAGTGTTTACATTACTTCATACAGTAAAACATAAACATATTATTGTGACGTGTAACAAATGCTGCTTGTTTCAATAATTAGGGTGACTACTTTATATGACAAGCAGTTCAAATGTTTATTCATTTAAACTATATCTATTGTTTAAATTGTATGTAGTAGTAGGCTATCCACTTTTAAGACACTACTAAGTAATTCAAATGAAAAGTTTCTTAGTTTCTTAAAAAAAATATGTATTCACTTGGCGCCTTTCCATTATAGTGAGTAGTGTGTATTCATTGAGTCACTAGTAGCCTAGTACAGTATTTATTAGTCTTTGCAAGTCACTAACTCAATAGAGACAACTAACTATTTGTCGCTAACATATTACAAATTTCTGCCGATGAATTCTATTGGCATGGTTGAGACCATGTAATGAACTATTTTACATGTTATTTTTCTAGTAATTATTCTGAATGACTTTTTAGTTAGTAGGCTATTAGTAAAAAAAAAATGGTACTAGTTACAATTAGAATACCCTCTAGTTTTATTAATACGAACACTAGAATAGACATTTAACTATTTGAGCTAGAATATAGTTAATATATTAGCTGGAAAAGCTAGATAAACTAGCAATTGGCTATATAAATGTACAATTGCAAGTTATGAAGTCAGAATTGTGAGATATATACTTGCATTCTTACATTTTCTTGGAATTGAAAATTTATATCTCGCCATTTTGACTTTATAACTCGCAATTGAGAGTTCGTGAAATTCTAAGAAAAAAGTCAGAAATATGAAATATATAGCTGGCAATTGTGAGAAAAAGTCAAATTTCAAGTTTATATCTGACAAATCTGATTCTTTAATTCTCAGAATTGCCACTTAATTTCTCAGAAATCTGAAGAAAAAAGAAATGCGAGATTTTAAAAGTCACAATTGTGAGATAAAAATCGCAATTTAGACATTCAGTGGTGAAAACAAACGTCCACCACACTGTAGTCATAGACACAACAAGCAACTAAAGTTGTATAGCCTTATGTAGGCCTACGTGATGAGAGTGAATATTGGAGAAAGTATAGTAGCAAACTTGTAATTGGAAAAATATGAGAGTCATTAACTGGAAAAAAAATACTACTGCATTGAACACCATTCTCATTAAAGAAAAAAAAAAGTGTGGGCGAAACTTTTTTTGAGTGTTTGACAAGTCTGTAACTGCCTTACCACAAGAGGAAGAGAGCAAATGACGAATGCTATGGTCATGAACCCGAGCAGTACCAGATGTTCCACCTCCTTCGCGATGGACCGATGCCTCTTGTGACCTTGCTGCCGTCGGATAGAGCTCCGGTGCGCCTTGCGTCTTCGGAACATTAGTAAAAGATGATAGATGACGGACACGTTGCACAAAACCGTACACACAATCATCACGAGCAAGCAAGTCGCGTAGATGATATTGAACACTTTATGCTTGGTCTCTGATGTGTTCATGTCAATGAAGCACCACGTCCCCGGACAGTATTGAATATACTTCCCAAAACCAAAGAAAGGCGTGATACAGAAAAGAGCGCAAAGCAAATAAATAAGAGCTATGGTGATGTACCCGCAACGTTTACTCAAGCGCTTCTCATAAAAGTAAGGATGTCCTAAGGAGAGCCAGCGCTCCACGGCCATGGAGAGAAGAATAGCGAGAGTGACCAAGCTGAAAAATGTCATTGCATATCCAAAGTGCCCGCAAACGAATTTTTTTTCATTCATCCCGAGCAAAGACTGCTTCCTCAAGTACGCAGTTAAAACCAGAGGACTGACGGAGAATGTTCCCAGCAAATCTGTGATGACCAAAGATGTGACTAGGACTTGGAACAAAGACGCGGGTTTTTTCCTCCGCCGTATTTCCAAGAGAACTAATGCGACCACGTTTCCAAGGACACCGGCGGAAAACATGATCGCAGATGTTGTGGGAGATCCTTCGGAGACATCGAGGCGCTCCTGGCAGCTGACGTTTTTCGCAAATGATGCCATAAAAATGCCGTTTTTGTTGTTGTTGTTGTTGTTCTCCTGTATTATCCACCCTGGTGTACACTTTTGTGCTGCTTGAAGTGAATTTCAGGAAAACGATATATCATAGCAGAGAAGAATTAGGCTCCATACATACTTATAGCGGAGCCGAACTTTACGCACGGCACTGCCCATAACTTTCAAACGAGAGGAGCAACGAGCGTGAGGAGGAGTTTCAGCAGAGCATGCTGTGATGTCAACAGCTCATGACTCATACGTAGTATGAGTCAGGTGGGTTTTAAATGCGATCAAATGATTTAAAACATTTTTTTGTTTTTTTCCTGGAGTGAAGTAAGCTTAATGCAATATGTTTTCATTCTATAGAAAATTATAATTCAGTAGCCTAAGTTAAAATTACCTAGTAAATAACTAGATTATTTATAAATGATTAAATTAAAATATTCATAAATATATATTGCAAACAATAAATTAGCCATATGATTTATAAATTAGATAAATAATTTGGATCACAGCACTGTTTTTCAGGGACAACCCAGACAAAAGAAATTGCAAAACATACAGTGAAGTCTTCTGTAAGCATGTAACTGCATCATCATCATCATCATCATCATCATATATATATATATATATATATATATATATGCTACTCTATCTGAAACTTGGTATTTAGAGCACCGATTGTGTTTATTTGCCTCTTCATGAATCACTATAGTTTCATTCCTTATTTGTAAGTCGCTATGGATAAAAGCATCTGCAGAATGAATAAATGTTAATGTACAATGTAATAAATACCTCTGGATAAAACAATACTCCTGTACATGCTGTATTGGACAAAAACCTGACCTTTGAAACATCAAATTGACAAAACATGTAAGGAAGAGTCCATGCACAGTAAAATACTTTCCAAACATAGCAAATAGTTGACTAAAAGTTTGAGTTTAAGGGTGTACTGTACATAGAAAAGTGAAAGTACTGCTGCTGTGCACTGTATGTGTATAGTATTAAACCCTGTAGACCAAATTCAGTTATGGTCATTCCTGCAGAAGAAAATGGTCAAATATAGTGCGCTTTCTTGTATTTCATCAGGAAAAAAAAGTCTTTTAAACCCTTTCTCTTTGTTTTTCCCCCTCTCTTTCTCTTTGTCTCCCATTTTCCAAAGCACATAGTGCACCATGGCCCTTTTTTATAATATCCTGAAATTCTGATTGGTGTGTCATCAGTTTTGCAACTTTTTTTTTTTAAATTGCTTTCACATCATTTCTGAAACTATGGCTTGTGAAGTTCTCAAAACTTTACAAAACCACAAGCACGCAACATGTAACATCCCACACATCTCTTGCAAAAGCATTCTATTTTAACTCTTCCATTTTTTTTGTTTTTTTATTAATAACTCTACACACAAACATCAAATGATTAGCCACATACACATCAAACTCCACAGATGTGAAAAATGTAAGCTCTTTTGTGTCTTTTGCTTGGTCAGTGTGCAGTGGAGCGTATACAGGAGTTTGTCAACTCACGTGTACAGTTTGTACGTGCTCAAATTGGTGACACTTTAGAATATGGTTCCTTCGTTAATGAATAACTACACAAGAACCAATGAGTAACACAATATTAACAATCTGGTAACTATTATTAACTAACAAGTAACTCTGATTAACAAACTAGTAATTAATAGTGCACCGATGAAAGTGGTACTTCATTAACTAATCAATAACTACTATTTTTATGCTTCCCAGAGAACTACTGAAAAAGTTTATTAACAATCTAGTAACTATACTATTAACTAAAAATAAACTCTGATTGATGAACTAGTAATTAAAAGCTCGCAAGTGGTACTTCACCATTAACTAATCAATAACTACTATTTTTTAATGCTGAGAACTACTGAAAACGTTTAATAATTCATGCAAAACTAATCAATAACCAGTGCAGAAAAATGACTAGCACTACATTAACATTTTAACTGCTAGTTAAAAACAAAAACAAGAGCTGTTAGTTATGAATGATGTGTCTAATGTAGAAAACTGTTTTTAGCGTTTCGCAAAAAGTTACAAAAAAATGTTTACACATGGATAAATGTGTGCTATTTGAGTTCACAGTGTGACACTTGTGGTTATATTATGTGTTTGTGTTTTCTGAATGAAAACAAAATGCAAAATAAAGTCATTTTTGTGCAGAGTTTTGCAGAACACATTTAGAATATGGTAACGTGCTTGAAAACAGGTAAAATGTGTTTCGAGAACAGTATAAATGGGTTAAATGCACTTTAAATTAAATGGCATTACATGTTATGTATTTGCAAATTACATGCTATTTATGTTTAAATTTGTGTAGAGTTAATGGATAAAATCTTGGTTTACCATCTTTACTGCATCAAGACGCCTCCCAGTGGGCAATATCTGAGATGCACACAAGTTTTAGGAGAGTCGTCATCATTACTCATTACGCAGTAAGTTTAAAACGTGGAGGTGAGGAAAACTTTTCAATTTTGTATGTCAAAACAAAATAATGTGTTGAACAGCCCTCCTGCTTAAAATGGTTTAAATAGTGTATAAAAAAATACAAAGAAAATGATTATAAAAATTAAAATGGGAACCACTATATAACTTTCATTATGACATCATTAAGTGTGCTCATGGAGCACTCATGGTATATTGTCATGTGTCAATTGGAGTTCCACAGGGATCAGTACTAGGACCATTTTTAATCTCCCTTTACATATAATCACAAGCAAAGTTGTCAAATCTAATGACTTTATCATTTTCATGCAGATGATACTCAGTTAAATCTCTACTTCTACACTTTGACAAACAGGTTTCACAGCATTTCTGTCTAGATGAATAAGTCAAAAATGATGATTGAAAGAAGATAAAATGATGAATGAAGATTGAAAACAAAGCTGTTCATTCTAGGCAAGTTCCACCCATTGCCAAGAAGACCATGTCATTTCAACAGAAAAACATCTCACCCACTCAAACAGACAAGAGCCTTGACAACGACATGTTCTTTGCACCTTAAATACCACTGTCAAGTAATGCAGTTTCCTCCAGCAAAAAAAATCCAAAATATTGGTAGAACAATTACATGGGCTCTACATACAGTATCCAGAGAGTTCAAGAGCAGTAACTGATGCAAATGCAGAACAATGTTGTCTTTCAGTAACTGTATAATTTATATTTATTAAAGGAGTAGTTCACTTAAAAAAAAAAAAAAAAGAAAACACTTTTGCTTATAATTTATTCTCCCCCATATCATCCAAGATATCTGTCTTTCTTTCTTCAGTCGAAAAGAAATTAAGGTTTTTGATGAAAACATTCCAGCATTTTTCTCCATATAATGGACTTCAATAGGAATGCAAAATATTCAAAGGGCTTTAAACGATTCCAGACGATGAATAAGGGTCTTATCAAGTGAAACGATCGCTCATTTAATAAATAAATAACAAAGTTTAAGTTTTTTAAGCTCAAATGGTCGCCTTGCTCGGTTCTGTGATGAGCGTTCGGGACTCTCCTGTTCGAAGTCGTTCATCAAAATGAACAAATCTTTTCCAGAGTCAACTCGTTCATTTCGGTCGTTGAATGAACCAAATGACACGAAAAGAGATTTATTCATTTTGATGAACGAGTTCGAACAGGGAAGTCACGAACGCGCATCAAAGAACAGAGCAAGTCGACCATTTGATTTTTATAAAACTTAAACTTTGTTTTTTTTTTGTTTTTTGCTTTTTTATTAAATGAGCGATTGTTTTGCATGATAAGACCCGTATTCATCGTCTGGAATCGTTTAAAGCCCTTTGAACAGTTTGCACTGAAACTGTCTTTTGGACCTTGAACCATTTGGTTACCATTGAAATCCATTATATGGAGAAAATCCTGGAATGTTTTCATCAAAAACCTTAATTTCTTTTCGACTGAAGAAAGAATGACATGGATATCTTGGATGACATGGGGGTGAGTAAATTATCAGCAAAAGTCTTTTTTTAAAAAAAAAAAAGTAAAATAAAGTATATTGTATAGTGAACTTCTGGGACTGGGTCACTATTTTCTTGTTTAAATGAAACTGTAATTGTATTAAAGCTTTGTACATTTGAAGGGTAGTTCACCAAAAAATGTAATAAAATAGTCATCATTTACTCACCCTCATGTCGTTCCTGTTTATTTCCTCTGTTGAAGAAGATATTTTGAAGAATGTCGGTAACCAAACAGTTTCAGTTCCCATTGCCGTCTATTGTTTAGTTTTTTTTGTCCAACTCTTATTTTAAGCCAATACAATAAGGGTTCAGAGAATTAGATAACGTTTTTGAAAGTTATCCTCATTTCTGTAAAAAGTAATTACGAAAACAACGATACTTAAAATACACATTTCTTACAGCAGGTGTTTGTTTGCAAAAATCATTTTCTACTCTCCAAGTGAGTGCAATAAACCTCTTTATTCTTTATATTGGATGATGATTTTTCACTCGGCTGCTAAAACCCTCCCATATGTGGTTTGTGGTTGAGGCATCCTTTCATTTTAAATCACCGCACAGTCACATCTCATGAACTTCTTCTGGAACAATTATATTTAAGTGCTCCAGATCGAAGCTGCTTCGTCTCAAAATGAAGAACAGCTGGGCATTTGCTTTACTTTTTACAAATGTTTATTTCACGAATGCGATTCAAAAGGACGCACTTTTCTCATTCGGATTATCTAAAGGCGATTCAGTTCTTCAAGAAGGTGATGATGAACTGTCTGAAGCCCTGAAGCTAAAAAAGCCATTGCACTTCTACAACATGCAGTTCAACGTCCTTTATGTAAGACACACTATTTGTTTTCATTGTCTTTACAATGAAAACAAATAAAGCTTTAATTTACCCATTATTTTAGACTGAATTTTGCATATGCAACTAGATCTATTGAGCATGTGGAGTCTTAAGTTTAACATTTAATTGAATTGCTATTGTTGTCATAAAAGCAAAAATATAAAAATGCAAAAGTCCTGAGTCATCACACATGGATCTTCTCCATTCCTCAGGTTGCCACGAACGGCTTCTTGTCCCTTCAGCGTCCTCCTGAAGAGAGTCAGTATTTAAGATCCAAGTTTCCTCTGAGCTTCTCGGCCATTGCACCTTTCCTGACAGACATTAGTTCGGGACATGGGAAAGGATCTGTGTTTTACCGTGTGGAGGAATCATTGGATGTATTAAACCGGGCTTCCGAAATGGTGCGGCGTGGTTTCACCGGTTCTACATTTAAGTCCAGCCACACGGTCATCGCCACATGGGACAACGTTGCATGTGAAGAGGACAGGCTACTCCAGTCACCATGTGTAACATTCTTTTATATTCCTTCATCATGACTTTTCTGTTACACTTTATTTGGTAACACTTTATATTACACTACTTACCGTAGTAATAACAGTAAATTATGTATAATTACATGTAATTAACCCTCAACCAAAACCTATTCCTGCCCTAACCTTATAGTTGGTACATGTAGATAATTATTATTACTCAGTACTTAAAACATATAATTACACTGATAAAGTGTAACCCTTTATTTGAATGTGTCCATGTTACAGTGTAATTACCAATTACATACTGTGTAATAATAATTAACTACACATGTTACCTAAAGTTAGGATCTGGGGTTTAGTTTAGGGTTGGTTGCCTGTAAGTATGCATCATTAATAGTTATTACTACGGTAACATGTGTAACAAGGAAACGGTAAAATAAAGTGTTACCGCATTTTAACCTAATGTTTCAAAAATTTTGATTTTGTAATGCTATTATTATTAATATTAACTATGTTGTTCTGACCCGCATGCAGGTAACCAGTTTCCAGGTTGTGTTGGCTGGTAATGAATCAGATACGTATGCCTTGTTCCTGTATCCCGAGGATGAGCAGCAGATGCTAAATATCAGTCCCAATTATTCTAACATGTCAAAAGGACACGCTAAACTTCAGGTTGGTTTTTGTAGAGGTGATACGTCTACCACAGAAGAGCTGTTCTACAGTCTGATTGGATCTGATGAGACAGCCAATAACCTCCATAAGTGAGTGAAGGAGTCTTTTTTTATTCTTTTATCCATTTCAGTAATCTCTGTAATTCATTGGCATGGTGAATTAATGGAATTAATTTAAAGGGTAACTAAACCGCTGGTCAGAGCCTGACTCCACCCACTGGCAATATTTGAGAAATGCTGGAAAAGTGGGCAGGGCCCAGCGGAGGGGGGCGTGCACCTGAGCATCTCTTTGTATGGAACTTGCCTACGTCACCAACAACCGCTGTGTCACGTACCACCGCAAACATCCAATAGGAAAATTCAACTGCAGTAGCCACCGTTCAACCTGAAGAGGGCAGTACTAAGAAGTTTTTACACCATATATTGTAGAAATAGAACACTTTATAAACAAATGCCAAAAAAGTTACTCGAATCAATGACTGGTATTAATAAAGATCCATTCTTACAGATCATTAACTAAAAAAAGTTGGTTAAGTGTTTAGTTACTCTTTAATGATGAATTATAGGTTTATTAATTTTTGCTTATTGTTAATTCATTTGAACTGATAATACATTAAAACAAAACAACATGATAAAACATCTAAGTAAAATTATTTAAGCATGACAATTATAGTTACTTCAGGTTGTGAAATGCCTACCCTATCTCACGACTAATTCGAGTGATTAAAAAGTGTCTAATTCGTACTAATTCGTACGACCTCACTCATACGAATTCATACGATTTGTCTAAACCCACGTGATGGTTAGGTTTAGGGGCGGGGTCAGGGGTAGGTCATTCGTACGAATTCATACGAATTGGCCAATTCGTAAAATATGTACGATTTAGCAAAATCATACTAATTTGTACGAGTGAGGTCGTATAAATTGTTACGAATTAGCCACCTCGTAAAATTCGTACGAGCAATTCCCCAAAACTTTATGATATTTTTTAAATAACCAATTTTTTTTTTCCATTTTAAACTAACCGATTCTATTTTAAACTAAATATGTATACTTTTCTTCATTATGGACACTATGTTATTTACTACAATAAATGTAACAATAATAGTCGTTATTAACATTATCCTAGAGTGATAAATGTTGTAAATGCTTTACTTATATATATATATTTACATGTTAACTCTTTTAAAGCAGTTAACATGAACTAGCAATGAAAAATACATCTACAGAATTATTTAACTCAATTAATGTTCATTTTAACATTTACTAATACATTATTAAAATGAAAAAGGTCTGCAAAGTTACAAAGTCATTTCAAAGGGAGTTGTTCTCTATATCAGTGAACTCCCTGAAACAACTGCAAAGTGTCCACTGTGTAAATATAGTACTAAAATATTTAGTACTAAATCCGTCATAAACTCTGGCACATGACATCACTTCCTGAAATTCAAAATGATTGGCTACCAACAGCATTTTCCACTTGATATTTGCATAAAGTCGAGAACTGCCCAACCTTTTGATGCTCTTGGCTGCTCTCAACGCTTTCTCAAATCCACAGTAAATCCCATAATGCACTGCATGAGCGTGAAGCTTAACTTCCATAGGCAAGAATTGAAAACACTCGCTCTGCTCTGCTCGCTGAGCACCAGTGGGTATGCACCATACATAAATGAGAATCTCTTAGCTTAAGTAATATTAACAAACTATATATCATTTGAAAGCTTACAATCTCTAGTTTCCATATTTGGTGACTGATTTTCAAAATAAATAACAGAGGAGCCATAATTTATCAATTTGCAACAAAAATATTTTCATACTCCTAAGGCGGGTACAGACCTTTATTTTGAAATAGTGATGAAAAATCATAAAAAAGGAAGAAACCTCTGTTTGTTTTCATGCCAAGAGTTCAAAAGATTGCATCCATTCAATTATGTTAGAAAAAAGGTCTGGAAATGTTTTAAATATAAAGAAAAAATAATCAATTCACCATTTGTGATGGGGCAGCGAGCTATAACGCACATATGTGTTCTTTGTATGCGTTTCTTAGAGGTTAAAATTCATATCAAAATCTGCTTCCCATACTACTTCTGAATAGGATCTCTACTTCGTAAATTGTATGAAAATTGTGGAAATAATGGTTCAGATCACTCAAAACACATATGGAAATGGAGGAGCTTTATATGGGCAGTAATGGAGTCTGGTTGTGCCCTAGTGAAAAAGTTTGGTACTGCGCCTAAACAAAATCTTACTGAAAGCTCATTTTTTGAGATATCAACCTAACATTTTAAGATGTTCAGATTTTTGGCTTTGATTTTTCTGCAGTTTTGGAGTAGCCCAGGTTTTGAAAATATATATTTTATATAAAATATGAATGATTATTATTTTTACATTGTACATTTCCATAAACTCAAACTTCTATATAGCTTTCTTGAATTACAACCATTTAAGTTCGAAATGTGCATTTCCATGTCTATTAAAAAAAAAAGAGGTTAAATGAGTTCGTTTCACAAAAAAACTAGATGCACCCTCTCAAATTTACAGTGTTTTCTTTTGAATTGGCTCTACTCTCCCACTTAATTTTAAGATTATGTATTTTTAACAGTACACCCAACTTCCATGGTAATTTAGCTGTACAAAACAGTCTGCTTAATATCAAAAACTCTTATTTGTAGCCATGTCATTTTTATGTTTGATTTCGCTTATGGAGCCAATTAAAAGGTTAGTTCAAACTGAAATGAAAACTGTGTCATTAATGACACACCCACACGTCGTTCCAAGCCCGTAAGACCTCCGTTCATCTTCAGATCACAGTTCAAGATATTTTAGATTTAGTCCGCAAGTTTTCTGGCCCTCCATTGAAAATGTATTTACGGTATACTGTCCTTGTCCAGAAAAGAAATAAAGACATCCTCAAAGTAGTCCATGTGACATCAGTGGGTTAGTTAGAATGTTTTGAAGCATCGAAAATACATTTTGATCCAAAAATAACAAAAACGACGACTTTATTCAGCGTTGTATCCTCTTCTTGTTCTAGTATACCGTACATTCATTTTCAATGGAGGGATTACGCCATATTGTAATTACCGCAATTACATGATTTCAACAAAAGCGTCCTCATAGAGCTTGTAATTACAGCTTGTAAGGTAGGAGTTTTCTAAAAGCTCATATGACCGCTACAGATTCATTTTAGGTGTTGATAAATAAGAAATGCATAGTCCCAGTCCGAGGACGTGAACAGCTCCGAATAAAACGTTATGTGTTGTCATCTAGAGACTATGGTAATTATGACACATAAGCCAGAACTGCTACTCCCAGCTGGTGTTACCATAAATAACTAAAAAAGAAATGCAAACAACTACAGTAACTGAACCATATGGTAAATTATATGCAACTCTCAGGGCAGGGAACACCGGGTTAAATGGAATATGGATTTTCCACATCGGAACCAGCCGCTTCCCATTCCAGAAGGTAGTTCCTGCTTCAGTCTCCAAGTCTGGTTCTATGGGTTTTGGTAGCTTGCGCAACACCACAGAGGAAGATTTCTACATTACAGACGAATCAAACACAGCTGCAGATAAATCTACTTCTGAGGCCCAAATGGACACCCCCGGTTCACTTGTTCAAAATCCATTAAAACCAAACCAAGAACTACATGCTAGTTCACAGAATGGAACCAAAATGTGTGGCGTTCACTTGAAATTCTGCTCCCAGGATGCTTACTGCACAGACTACGCAACTGGTCCATGCTGTCATTGCCGTTCTGGTTACTATGGGAGTGGCAGACATTGTTTACCTATGGGTGAGCTTTTGTAGTTTAGTATGTTCTTTTCATATCATTTGTACTATGATATGATCTTATACAACCCAAAATTAAAACTTTTTTTACAGGTATTTCTCAGCCTTTAAGTGGAAAGCTGAGTGGAAGTGTTTCTGTTGGAGACATTAAAGCTCAGCTAAACAATGTGGACCTCCATGGCTTTGCTGTGGTGGGAGAAGGACGCGTGTACATCTCCATCAGTCCAATCCCAGCTCAGGCAGGTTGGGCTCTGATGGTTGTGAGCCCGCTGGTCTCCATATTTGGCTGGCTGTTTGCTCTTGAGCTCCAAAACCATCCAAATGGCTTCAGTATAACTGGTATTATTGTTAATCTGAAGCTTCATTACATTATATTTTAGTTATCATGTCATATTTTAGTTATATATTACAGTTATCATGAAGAAAGACATATTTTCTTCAGGTGCTGAGTTTTTTCATTGGGCAGAACTGGTTTTCAGTCCACAAGGCCAGCGTGTTACCATTATTCAAGAGGCTAAAGGATTGGATTCATTCAACCACTTGACATTTAACATGACGATCAGTGGACATTTACCTACCATTCCCAGTGGTGCTAAAGTTCAAATTCTGCCATATAAAGAGACCTACCAATACAACCAATCAGGTAATTCTTATACGCAATCTTGGAGGGTATGACTAGGGTTCAGTAATTCCACATGATTTTGAGTGTGATTTTGCTTTTAAACAAACAGTTCAACAAAAAAGTGTTTATTCTAACATACGTTTTAGACACCATATTGTCGATCACTTTGTAAATTTGTGCGCCACAAAAAAAAAAAAAACTCCAAACCTGCAAATTCACTTAAAAACCAGTTTAAAACAGATATAGGGAGTATCAACCCGATCTCACGACCAAGTCGTACGAATTCAACAAATGATTAAAAAGTGGCTAAATCGTAACAATTCATACGACCTCACTTGTACAAATTAGTATGATTTTGCTAAATTGTACATATTTTACGAATTGGCCAACTCGTATGAATTCATACGAATGACCTACCCCTTACCGCACCCCTAAACCTAACCATCACGTGGGTTTAGACAAATCGTACAAATTTGTACGTGTGAGGTTGTACGAATTAGTATGAATTAGACACTTTTTAATCATTCGTCAAATTCGTATGAATTGGTCGTGAGATAGTGTTGGGAGTTTTGAAGCCCATTTCTGACACATAAGAAAAAAAATCATGATCAGGGAAGTTAAGTCATAATTCCAACACTCACAGAAAACTGAAATGTGAAATTATGACATGCCAAGACATTGTGATATAAAAAGTCAAAATTATGATATAAAAAGTCATAATCATGACGTTAAGGTGAAATTATGAAATGTCAAAATTGTAACAAACAATTAAATTTGGAAAAAGTCAATTTTGATGCATCTCATCATTTCAACTTTCTGTGTCTTAATTATGACTTTATCTCATAAATTGGAAATAATGACACATTAAGTCATAATTTTGAGATAAAAAGTCCTAATTATCACATAAATGTAGACATTACGAGAGAAAAAAACAATTACAAATAATGTAAATTCAGAAAAGTCAATTATGACTTTCTAAGTCTAAGTCTAAGTCTCCTAATTTTGACATTTTATTTCATAATCATGACTTAAGATGCCATCATTCCAAATTTGTATATGTCAGAATTTTGATTAATTACCTGAAGAATTGTTTATTCCAATAATGATTAATAATTAACAAATGTAACTCTTTTGTTTTAAAAGCAATAAGCCACTCGAGTCTAAAGTTAGTGCTTTAATATGTGTTCTTTGAGCATTATGGGTTATGTATTTTGTTTCTGGCTCAGTTGTGACATCATCATCACTGCACGAGTACATGGTGGTGTCAGAAAACGGTGGATCCGAGACGTTCTCTTACCGGCTACACCAAAATATAAGTTTTCGTAACTGTGAGCATGGCCCATGGACCTTACCGGACTTTCAGCAGGTGAATGTGGAGCATCTGATGGTCACGTTCACAGAAGGAACCACCCTTAGATATGCCATAATCAACCAAGTGGGACCTGTAGGAGGTTAGAACATACTATGAACCAAACCATTCTACAATGAGGGTCATTCTTAGTTGTATTTCACATAATTTTGGATCTTGTTGAGGATTTCTTTATGTTATCAGGTGAGCTCCCTGGACTTGTGGAGTTGAACCCCTGTTCAACTGGGAAGCACCATTGTGACCCCATGGCCCTCTGTCTGCCAGGGGACGGCATTCAGTTCCACTGTCAATGTGCCATGGGCTTTCAGGGGGATGGACGCAACTGCTATGGTACAGATCTTTCAGTGTTCATCTTTATTATACAGTATTTTGACATTAAGCCAACTGCTTAATCTCCAATTCCCTTAGAGACTATGTCATCTTCCGATGCCATTAATAAATGACTGCCTTAGTTAAAGTGCTGAATGGCTCTCTTGGGTTTTGAATCTGTGATCCAGATGTAGATGAGTGTGCTGATGGGCTCAGTTCCTGTGGTCCTCACTCTGAGTGTGTGAACATGCCGGGTGGACATCACTGCCACTGTGAACCTGGCTATGAGTTTGACCTCGATTTGCATGTGTGTGTAGGTAAGTGTTCTGCGTTTTGTAAAGTGTGTATGAGAGTTTCGGGGTTGTGGGTCGCATTAAGAGTGATACAAAAGACAATTTGAAATTTGATTTGAGATCATCCAGGCAGAGACGCATCTGTAAAAATCTGATTCCAATCATACTTCAAACCAGCTCCAAATGTGGTTTGAATCAGATTTGGAAAAAACGTTGTTGTTGTTGTTGTTGTTGTTTTTTTAGGGGGGTTGCCCAGACTTTTGAAAACCCATCTGGATAAAATTAGCCTTGTTAAAACCAGACCATTCTCAGTTGTAACTGAGTTATGCGTCAAAGCGTCATAGACAAATCATTTCCAGAGGGACAAACCAAGCAGAGCGATGAAGGAGATGACGTATGCAGTTTCTCCGAGTGTTGTTCTTTGCTCGGTTTTTAACAAAAAGGACACGTTCAAATCGCTTAAAACAGACGCGATAGCTGATTCGAACGAGTGATGTTCGACGGCATCCATCTTTGTAATGTAAGCTACAAAATCTGCTTCAAAATCGCATGGCTGTCATCATCTTGTAAAGCCCGCCCCAACGTTTCTGATGGGTGCCTCGATTTCGTCGGATTGAAAATGGGCTTTTTTTTTTAGTCTTTGGCAGACTAACTTTCAGAGCAAATCTAAATTTGCTAGAAGTTGTCTGGGTTTTCCCAGGCTAGGATAAAATCTGATTCAAAAAAATAGATTTGTGCTGGTTGTCTAAACACAGCCTTAAATATCTTTGTTTTGACTCGTGTAGTTCACGGTTTCAGGTGGAAATTTAAAGCGCAGATCCATGCAAGTTAATATTGCGCATCCCATGTTTTAGACACAATATTTTTGGACCGACAATGAAAATTGATTCCAACTAAGCCAAAGCAGAATCAGCCATGGGCATCTCCAAGCAAAACACAGCAGTGTTGTTTGTATTTTTGAATGAATCTGCATTTTTGAACAAATCATTTGAGTAAATGATTCAATGACTCACTTAAAGGGAGAGTCGCCACCTACTGGTGTAATGATTTGTGCCATTTATATAAAGACTGGCAGCCTGGGTAACACTTTATTTTGATGGACATTGGGTTGACTATGAGGAACTTTGCAACTACATGTCAACTAACTCTCATTAGAGTATTAGTAGACTGTTTGCTTAATGGCTGTTAACTCTTTATTGTGATTCTCCACAACAAACATTCTACCAACTATAATGAACTTTGCAACTACATGTCAACTTATTCTAACCCTAACCCTACCAGTCTACTAATGCTTTTCTAACACTTTAATGAGAGATAGTAGAGATGTAGGTGCAACGTTACTTCTAGTCAACAGAATGTGACCATCAAAATAAAGTGAAACCACAGCCTGCAAGAGTAAGAACTGTTTTAATGATTTAAAGTGATTCATGAATCATGATCATTCATAAAACAATTCTTACGTACATTTTTCCATTGGATTGAATTTCTTAATCCTTTTTCATTATTGAGGACCATTGACTCTTTTGAATTGCAAGTGTAATTTATATAACCGCACATGTGGTGCACATTCAACCATCTTATTTCAGAGGAGGCCCATCACTCTCTTCTTTTGCAGATATCAACGAGTGTTTTCTGCAGCTCTGTCATCCGTTCGCTTCCTGCTCCAACACCCAGGGCTCGTTCCACTGCCAGTGTTGGCCTGAATACAAGGGCGACGGCTTCCTCTGCCAGCCACCACGTAAACCACACATTTATCAAGAACACACAATGCTTCCACCCATCAGCTCAGTAACAAGACTGTTCTCTTTGCTTATAACACAGAAGTCATCCAGCAAACAAATCAAGTCAAATATCATGTAGCCTACATTGTCGCATTATAAACCAATCGAACACAAATGCATCGTTTAATCACTCAGGATGTGGTTGAAAACAACTAGAACAAGTTCCTGGAACCACATCTTTTGTTCCAGGACTTAGATTAACCACATCGCTGCATGTACTGAATACCCATAAATGTTCTTTGGTCCTATGTTTATTTCTACACTAGAGAAGCCCAAACCCTCATTAACTGTGTGCCAGCAACACCGAGACAGTCTGCAAGAGAGTCTACGCATGTACCGTGGCCTGGAAGCCTTCGTTCCTCAGTGTGATGAGAAAGGGCAGTACAAACCCCTGCAGTGCCTGGGCACCACTGGACACTGCTGGTGTGTGGACAGAAGAGGTCAGGAGAGAGTGGGCACCAGGACAATGCCTGGCACAGTACATGCCAAGTGTGATCAGCCAGGTATGGATTTGTAGTTTCATCCCCTCACGGTCTGATAGGATCAGGTTTATATTTCAGGATATATACACACTCACCTAAAGGATTATTAGGAACACCATACTAATACTGTGTTTGATCCCTTCTCACCTTCAGAATGCCTTAATTCTACATGGCATTGATTTAACAAGGTGCTGAAAGCATTCTTTAGAAATTTTGACCCGTATTGATAGGATAGCATCTTGCAGTTGATGGAGATTTGTGGGATGTACATCCAGGGCACGAAGCTCCCGTTCCACCACATCCCAAAGATGCTCTATTGGGTTGAGATCTGGTGACTGAGGGGGTCATTTTAGGACAGTGAACTCATTGTCATGTTCCAGAAACCAATTTGAAATGATTCAAGCTTTGTGACATGATGCATTATCCTGCTGGAATTAGCCACCAGAGGATGGGTACATGGTGGCCATAAAGGGATGGACATGGTCAGAAACAATGCTCAGGTAGGCCGTGGCATTTAAACGATGCCCAATTGGCACTAAGGGGTCTAAAGTGTGCCAAGAAAACATCCCCCACACCATTACACCACCACCACCAGCCTGCACAGTGGTAACAAGGCATAATGGATCCATGTTCTCATTCTGTTTGAGCCAAATTCTGACTCCATCTGAATGTCTCAATAGAAATCGAGACTCATCAGACCAGGCAACATTTTTCCAGTCTTCAACTGCCCAATTTTGGTGAGCTCTAGCAAATTGCAGCCTCTTTTTCCTATTTGTAGTGGAGATGAGTGGTACCCGGTGGGGTCTTCTGCTGTTGTAGCCCATCCGCCTCAAGGTTGTGCGTGTTGTGGCTTCACAAATGCTTTGCTGCATACCTCGGTTGTAACGAGTGGTTATTTCAATCAAAGTGTCTCTTCTATCAGCTTGAATCAGTCGGCCCATTCTCCTCTGACCTTTAGCATCAACAAGGCATTTTCGCCCACAGGACTGCCGCATACTGGATGTTTTTCCCTTTTCACACCATTCTTTGTAAACCCTAGAAATGGTTGTGTGTGAAAATCCCAGTAACTGAGCAGATTGTGAAATACTCAGACCGGCCCGTTCTGGCACCAACAACCATGCCACGCTCAAAATTGCTTAAATAACCTTTCTTTCCCATTCTGACATTCTGTTTTGAAGTTCAGGAGATTGTCTTCAGGACCACACCACTAAATGCAAATGATTGGCTGATTAGATAATGGCATTAATGAGAAATGAACAGGTGTTCCTAAAAATCCTTTAGGTGAGTGTATTTAAAAGTTTAGGAAACACATTTTGAAAGAAGTTTATGTTCACCAAATCTGCATTCATATATGTATACAGTAAAAAAAAAAAAAATAATAATATTGTGAAATGTTATTACAATTTGGGAACAACTGCAACTAACTGACAATTTTGAAATAGAAATATTTTGTATGTACATTTATTAACTATCTTTTGATCAATTTGATGCATCATTTCAAGGATAAAAGTATTAATGTAAAAGGTTAATTATTTCAAATAAATGCTGTTCCAATGCACTTTCTATTCTTTTAAGAATCAAATCTATTGGATACAGAGCCCCTAAAGGGACAATGAAACAATGACATTTCAATGATGAAAAACATATTTGAATGCTTTGGTTTCAACTTGCAATATATTGCCAAATACGAGGCATTTAAAACACAAGGACACACTTCCTGCTCCTCACTGTTGAATTGCATGAGTGTTGTGGGAGTGGAATGCAGTTCCAACTATATATGACATAATTATCCTTCATGGGACGGTCTAACTGTAATTAACGCACACATAGTCATCTATTGAGGCAAGATATATGGTCACAGATTTTAAAGAATTTCTGAAAAATGTCTCAGTGTTTTCCAAAGAGACATTACTCAGTAAAATTGACACTGTGTACTGTGTCTTACTCAGCTGCCCTGGTTCCCCGTGTGGAGACTGTTTGCGAGCGCTGGAAGCTTTCACTCATGAGTCACTATAGGGGTCAGCCGTCCCCTCAAGACTACATGCCCCTGTGTGACGCTCATGGAATTTTCCTGCCTGTGCAATGTTACGGCAACAGCAGTTTCTGCTGGTGTGTGGACCACCAAGGCGTGGAAATTATTGAACCCGGTCCTACAATGATGTAAAGCCCCCTTGTGAGTAATAAAGTTATTTTTGGACTCATCAGGCTGAAAATACCAAAACCAAGTAGCAGGGGCCCCACAAATGACCGTGGCCCTAGAATCAGCACCACCTTTCTTCCCTTTAGCAGCAGCCCTGAATAAATGTT